CTATCAAATCCATCAAATAGTACATGTGAAATATGTGTATTTTACTGTACAGGAATCATACCACAGTAAAGGTGCCTGTAAAAAAACAAGAAAAGATTGGCGGCATTGTGTCCTATGTTTTTATGTGTCTTCAGTGAGTGGGTCTTCAAGTTTCTGGTCTGCCATATTTTCTGAACCAGAAGTGCCCTCCTTCCCTTTTCTTTGGTAAACTGTCAGTGGGTGGCATTTTTTCCCTTGGCTTCAACTGCTCTCTGTCCACTGATTAACTGTCAAGTCTTTTCCAGCATGGACACCTCATTTCAGTCCCAGAAATATACTTATAATTGACAAGTAGACATCCCCACTTGATTAGCCCATAAAAATCTCAAGCTCTGTATGTTTGAATTTACACTCGCTCAGAACTAGGTTTACTTTTTCAAACAATGGCATCACTATCCCATCTGTTTTCCGTGACATACATCTGAGAGTTTTCCTTTACTTTTCCACTCCCTCACCCCCATCAGTACTACACTTCTATTACTTAATGTCCCCCAACTAAGTCCCTGCTCCTCGCTCCCCACAGCATTAATTCACACCCCTTGCTAGTCTCCCCAGTGCTGTTCTTTAGAGTGAACAATCCACTTTTCTCACTTTTAATGGCTAATCTGTGTCACTTTCCTCCTTAAAACCCCAAAGAACTCCCCGCTGCGTATGTGAGGAAATCCAAGCTCCATGATTTAACGTTACACTTTCTCATCACCTAGTTGCTGCTTTTTTTCAGACTCAGCTTCCATTAGTTCCTCACAGCCTCTAGCTTCACTGACCTTCCACCCCTAAGTGCAAAGTGCTGTTAGACACGACCAGATCTCTGGACGAGACACACAAGCTGCGGAGAATCCCGTCCCCACCATGCAGTCTTCTGGTCTGGAGATTTGCTGGAATCCATCAGATGTCAGTGCAGAAAGCATTTCCTTTCTGACACCTTCCCTACCTTCTAGAACCCTGCCCCAGGCAGTGCAAGAGCCCCTCTGAACATTCAGTATACATGATGCCAAGTGACTCTTGCCATATTGTTTTGAAAACCTATTTAAATTTGTCTCTTCCACGACACACTGTGATCTCCTTGAGGGATGGGGGCTGTGTGGTATTTGTCTAGACAGCTAATGTCTGGCACAGACCCCGGGCCATTGGAAACAGTCTGCTGACTCATCAAGAAGAATTGTCGTCTTTGCAACGTAAGAAAGACTACATTATCTCTGATCTTACACCATCCGGCAAGGGTCAAAATAATGTCACATACAACTACACAGGCAAAATATGTGTATTCTTTTCCTCTTTGTGAGCCCGAGATCATAGGCATCCTGGAACGTAGGTGTCACTCTAAGCTGTCTGTCCCCTAGGCTGTCAACATATTTTTTAGAAGTTGTAGGGATACGTGTACATCACCCTGTCTTACAGCAAACGGTGCTTCAGCCTGACCAAGATTAATGTTCATATAAAAATCAGAAATCTTCCAAACTGAAACCTGAAGAAACATTTCCCTTATCTCCTTCCAGTCTGTCTGCCATCTGCATCCCACATCCCCACTGCTCATCTGCGTCAGGCCACCTTCTATCTAGAAACATTTTCGGAGGGACACTTGGAAGAGAACTAATTCCAGCAGTCATGAAAATGGTCCCATGAACATAGGCTCTGCACAACAAGGATGATTTGACCGGAGGCCTCAGCCATGGCCTGCAGGGTCTGTTCACGTGTTCTGCCTGGCTTCCCTGCAGACGTTCTGCAGAAAATCAAGCCTGCAGTTAAAGTCATAGAAGGCCAAAGAAATCCAGAGAAATGGAGTGAGATTCATCTCCTTGGGAACATTTTTGAAAACCATCCACTAATAGGAAGAAGAGCTTTAAGAGGTTCGTTTCAGAGCAGATGATGTCCAACTGCATGTGGGTCAGGTTTTTCATTGTTGCTCGCTAGTTGGCTTTCTGCTGCTTCTAACACACCTCTGTTTAGAGAAGTGGCCTGAGTCGGCCCTCAGAGCAGAAAGGTGTGCTGGGCCTGGCGACAGCCTAGCTCCTCTGCTGTGTAGTAACCCGCTGAGAAGGAAGGGATGGCCCAGGGCTTCCTCTGTCTCTCCCTTAGTTACAAACTCTATGAAGGGAAAATGGAACAAAAAAATTTAATTCAATATGGTATTGTCAAAGTATAAAAATAATTGTCTTTGGAGGGGATGGTATAGTTCAAGGGGTAGAGTACGTGATGGGTTCAAGTCGCTATACCTCAATGTAGGAAAATAATAAGATAAATTCTTTAAAAAAAAAGAAAAAGAACAAAGAAGAAAAGAGATCTCAAACAACCCAAGTTCAAAAAGAAAAGAAAGTCTTTTAAAAATATTAGTCAGCTCGGTCTTTTGCTAGATTAGGAGTTTGGGATTAACAGATACACACTAGTATGTATAAAATAAATAACCAACTCCCAGGTCCTTAATAACCTAGTTCAACCTGAATCCTTTCTCTTTTTTCCCCTAAGCAACCCGTGGAAGCCTCTGAAATTCTCATCTTATAAAAGAATTCATTTAAAGGCGGTTTCAATGTTATTGGTTAAAACAGTTATTTGTGGTTCCATGAATATAGGTCTAGTAAGAAAAACAGACAATAAACCAGTAAGCAAATAAATATATGATGTACTGCCAGGTACTAATAATTGCCACAAAGAAACATAAAGCATATTAGGAGAGAAAATGTTTGAATAGGAAATATGTGTGTGCTATTTTAAATAATGTGGTCAGATAAGACCTCTCTGAAGGTAAAATAATTTGAACAAAGTTCTGAATGAAGCAAAAGAATAAGCCACATAGGTAACAGACAAGAAAAGCCTCCCAGGCCGGGAGAAGTGTAAGTACGAGACTTGGAGTTACAAACACAGCTGTCCTGGTGGGGACCATCTAGTCGGTGAAGATGGGCTGGAGCAGAA